AAAAAAACTGTCACAAACGAAGCCCACGTCTATTTTTATAGCCTGTTTGTTTGCATGTTGCATCAGTAAGATTTGCATACCACAACTACATAGTTTTATTTTTATTTTTTATTTTTACTGTATCTTATAATAAATATTCTATGAGATTTAACTCAAATATTTGCAATATTATCTTATATATCTCTGAAAAGAAGTTCAAGTACTTCTGGATATTTTGAAGGTCTCCTCTGCATGGATAGATCTTTTCAGCCTAACAAGTAAGGGTTGATTGGTTGAAGTGTAGAGGTGATGGAAGGTGCAAGCTTCCTACTGATTATAAGAAGTTTATATCCTTCTATCATGGATTATACAGTCAAATTCTCTTCTGTTTGCATTAATAGCAGGTATATTAGAATGGTTGAGGGAGGAACTACATAGCAGGATGAAAAATGACTGAAGAATTGATGTTTAATAACCTTAATGATGGACATTAACATGTAAAAAGTGATTTCAACAAGTATTCAATATAGGAACAATATATCTTATGATTTCAAGCTACTTGTGTTCAAGTTATTTTTGTAGAATAACAAATTTGTAAGAAGTTTCTTTCCTACAGAAGAAAAAAGATTATGTTATATTTTGAATTCAAATTTATGTTACTCATGATAATCAAACTTTTTATTCAAACTTTTTATTCAAACTTTCTAAGAAAAATAATCACTGAACTCTAAATTTTTCAATGATCACTAGATTCTAATTTGAGCTCCAATAACTGCTATTACTACAGGATGGTGATCACAGGGCTTGATCATGTATTCATGTATGCTTGAAGAAACGTTTAAATTCCATTTTTGTTATTTAGATCATCTCCAACCGAACTGCATATTATTATATGCCGTCCTTGAATCGCTGCATTCGAACTTCAAATCTCACGCCAAAAATTGGTAGGAGAACAGTTCGATACCAATATTGGTGTCGGGCTTTTCACCTACGCCCAAAAAAAAAAAATTACCTTCACACTTTGTTTAGCTTCGCACGAAAAGCGCGAAATAGGAGAGAGAAGGTTACCTTCGCAAAGAAGTGTTTGAAAAAAAAGAAAAATGGAGTTCCATTGTAGACGAACTATCGCATTTTGAAGTTTTACGGAATTTTAGAATGAAAAATGGGGTTTTCGCTTGTAGATGCCCTTAGAAAGAGCCAAATCCTACCAAAAAAAAATGTAGAGTAAGATTCGTTGTAGGAATAAACATACATTTCAATGAGGAGAAAAAATTTTTGTTAAAGTGATTTGCATACATACCACTTTATTTCATGTTATTTACATATCTAACATCCAAAATATTAATATTATATGACTGTCATCAATAGAATAAATATGGGTGCATTGAATGAAAATTATGATTTTAGTTGTATCTGTTGAATGATGTTATGTTTGATTTATTATTTGACATAGAATTATCTCTAATTTATAATATTTGTATTGAGGCGCCTTCATATTACTTCAATATTAAATATCTAGCTGTTTTAAATCATGTAATATGTTGTCAAATAACTTTTTTGGATTTAACAAAATTTAAAAATTATCATATCAAATATTTTTCAGGATTTATGAGCCTAGGATTTACTAAATCCTATAAAATTGAATCAAATTTTATACCAAACACCCCTTAAAGAAGGGCGAATTATTACATCCGGTCACCAGACGTCCGGACATCCAATCCAGACGCGCCACTTCACCTAAATACATTGGGGCCCGATGAATTTGGATGACATGACGCGTCTGGATTGATGTCTCCATGAATCCGGACACCGGACGTAATAATTTGCCCTAAAGAAAGAGGGAAAGGAGGAGGAGCTGACAAAGTTAATATGGCTTATCTCGATCTGTTGAGTCGACCGGAAAAGTTGGCGAGGTCGAAGATGGCGGAGATGAAGCCAGATGTCTAACTTTTGCCAAAAGAAATTCTTTATTTTCCTGCAAAAGCGTAAACCCATTAGGTCCCAAATAATCGGCCGCACCGGATAGCAGGAGTAGCTGACGAAGTCAGTGTGACTCATCTCGATCTGTTGTGGCAGCCGAAAAAATTGGGGAGATCGAAGATGGCGGAGAGTAAGCCGGAGTTCGGGTCCCAAATAATCGGTCGCACCGCCCTTTTCTTCCGCCACCGTTACAGCACTGAATACTAGTTCAGCAGTTCCCAAATCGATCTATAAATAAACCGCATCCTCGCCGGGCTCTTAACCCTAATCGCAGTTTAAGAAAAAAGAAGCATTTCAATCCGCTCCCGTTCCAAATGGGCAAGAAGAGTAGAATCGCTGCCGCAGCTGCCGCTGCGGCTGCAGGACGTAACGGCCGGCTGATCGAGAATCTCAAAATAGTGACTGCAAGCCTGGCGAAGGAATCTGCGGAGTCCCGGAAAAAGATGGAGCAACTCCAATTCCATCTCGCTTTAATGGCCGCCGACCGTGACATCTGCGATGGCCTCGAACGCGATGTATTGGCGCTCGTCCTCTCCTCTAGCCTGGGCGAAGCCGCCGAAGGCACGACGGCGGAGATGACCGCAGCTACAGAGAGGGAGAGGAATCTAAGTACGAAGATTGAGTCGGCGGTAGCCGAGCTCAATGCCGCGGAAATGAGGCTGCTTTCTCTAGTTACAGAGAATGATGCGAAGAACAGAAAGTTGGAGGATTTGAAAGAACGCCTTCAATCCATGGAGGAACAAGCAAGAAAGCGTGGAAAACCATGGAAGAAGTGGCTTTACTCTGCTGCTGCCACAGCCACTCTCTTAGCTACTACAGCCGTCGCCACCTTCTGCTGCGATGGATCGTTCGCCACATCAAGAATTTGTTTGAGAGAGATTTTTTTTTTTTTTTTTTTTTTTGAACTTTTGAGCGAATTAACGAAACTCAACATTAGATTAAAAAGATTGTATTTTGATTTTAGTTCATTATTGTAGTATTTATCGATTATCAGATTTATCAATTTAGAGAGTTTTACTGTTTTCTTTTTAGATGTGAGAAAGTGCTTTATTATTCTTGATATGAAATCGCAAAATCATCTTGATCAGCACGAATCTCGAGGCAAAAATTAGTTGGAAACTTCAAAAATTAATTTCGGGAGCATATGAACTCCGATTTCAGCGAGCTTACAGTCAAACTGAGCGTCTCGGAAATACGAACCCAACGACACCAAGATCAACCCAATCCGAGCCCAAATGAGTCCGAATCAAAGGTTCGAAGCGCTGTTGGAAGGTTCAAACCACAATTTGAGT